CTCAGGCTCGCTGTTTGCTCATAAGCGGGATGGTCTCCGGTCTGTGGCAGAAATCGCGGGCCACTAGCCGCTGCCAGCGGCCTTAACGTCAGGTGACGTCAGAGGCCGCGACGGGCCCTGCAGAGCATTGCAGCATGTTAGGCCTTCGCCACAAAACTCTGCCGTCCAAACGGAATCTCATGATGGGATGCTGGGGTTGGGGCTAGCGCAGCAAGCAATGTTCAGCGGAGACATTGAGTTTAGAAATTCACGGAGTCAAAAGTTTCGAACCGAATCTTTAAAAAAAATATCGAGCAGAGACTCACTGGAATTCCAAGTCAATTCTCTAAGGAGCGGTTACTCGCATGCCATCGGATCCTCACACCGCGTCGTCCAGCACTCTCGTAAAGCCTGGTCTCGACCAGCGTATGTTGCGGCGTCAACCATGTGCCGGCCCGACGGCCGGCCTACTTAGGAATTACATTCCAGCATCCCCACAACCCCGTTTGGGGCTCCTGTGCGGGATAAGTATCGGATCCGGTAGACCCAGGCGACCGACGCATCAGAATCCCACATTTCCGAACTCGTCTTTAGACGCCGTAATAGCTCAAACCAGCAACAAGAAAATAACACGGGATTGCCAGGAGTGGACATGGGCGGTAAAAGGCACGGCATCGCCCCTTCAAACCAATCACACAGATGTTTATCTGAATCCACGTCACTCGACTTTCGACAACGCGTCCTGCGACACCGCCGTGCCGCATTTTCGCGCCAAGCGTAGTGCGTTTCTGAAAGAAGTCATATAGGATTACGACCACGCAATCAAAGGACACCTTCACTAGAGTTGGGATCAGTGCCAGCGCTGAGCAGTGACGGCAGCGTAAATGTTAATCCCACCATCTGATCGTGAAATTCCAGGTCAACGGCAGAATTGTGCCCGAAGCCTCCACCGTGCCGCAATGGTCAGCAGTGCCCATCCTGTCCCCTGACTAAGGCAACATATTCTGTCCACTAAACTACAAACACCACCACAAACTGCATTCCTCCCTTTGGATAGTCTTAGCATGCGTTCGGATGAGGTGGGTAGGGGGACATGGCCCCTCTCCCCACTCAAAGGTTTTTTTCCAGAGTAACTTCCGGATACTGTGGCTACGCGCCAAACGTTGTACCTGTGTGGGCAGTTGAATAGCAGTTGTTTTAGTAAAAAAGATAAACTTCATACTGTCACTGATCTATAGTAGGTCGAAATCAGGCTATGCCCGCCAGCGAAGAAATTGCCTCTGGAATCATTATGATGCCACCACCGAGTATTCGACAAAGTCAGACAGCTTCTAGGTGGCTTCTCAGACAATAAGAAAATTGCAGCTATGATTTCGAATAATTGCATTGACCTTGGGTGAGCCAGCTACGAAAGCCATTAAAGGTCAAAGTAAATGTTTTTTACTGGAAAACTTGCGTAAATGGGTAGTTTTTTACGTTCATCTGAATTTTGTGGTCACCACGGCGTCAAAATATTCATTGGTATGGTTGTACGAATGTCAGGGAAGATAAATGACCTGAAATAGCCTCGACCAACCTTCTGCCTTGAGAAGTACGCCATAGGCACGCTGGCGAGTACATTGTGCCAGTGGTAAAGTCTAATATCAACAACGTTTTTTAAATTTTGTTTAAGTAAATTTTCTTTTAAATGTAACAAGGTTACGTAAATGATACCAACAACAGCGACATTATGCTTAAAAGAGGCATCTAGGTTCCAGTTGGTTGCGTGAGACAGGCTGAGGCCACTTCAGATCCCATCTGGGGTTTGACTTTATTTTGACCCGAAAGCCACGATTTAGGCCTAACAATCTGATACAAATGAGTTCAAAAATTGCCTTTCCTACCATGTGAATTTCCGCCTCCAGTGATCTTAGTTTTTAGATCTAATAAGGTTAAATTGACCCTCACCCCACCCGGCCCATCCATCCCGGCCGGGCGCGGGGCATTCAATCTGCCACCTGCCGCGTTTCAACATAACGGTGCTCAACTGATGACATACAGACAGGGCGGTAAGCTGACCTTTGAAGCTGAGACGCCGAAGACTAACAAGACCAATCAGCATCACGTCACCTGACCTTAAACATGGCTGCTGTTAACAGTCGAAGGCCATCACGGTCAGAGGCAAATACCGAAAGCATAAGATGATCTGAACCCAAACAGACTTCGCCACGGGTGTGTGAATCGGAAGGCAGGCGCTCTAACCGACTGAGCTATCGGGGTGGGCAATGGGCTGGCCACACCTTGGGAATGGGCAAGGCCGGCGGAGGGAGGGGGCACGCCGGTACGATAATGAGGTTCTCAGCCACGACGTCATCGTTGCCTACCCACGAGAGGAAATTTAAACCAGTTCTGACCGGCACTGAAGCGTTCATTGTGGGTGAGGATATGCCTCTGTTTTTGGAATTTTGAAAGTTGGAGCTGGCCAATTATTCCATCATAGTGGAATTTAGTACTTCGGTTCTTCATTTCACACGTAATTTAATTGTGTTTCCTAACGTTTGTGGAAGACTTCCGCGTTGGCTTCTATCCACGAGGGTTTGCAATGGGCTGGAGAGGTTGCAAGGGGTACGAAAGCTTGCAGTTTGCGGGCTGTTGTGAGGAAATTCTGCAAAAGTACTCTGCGACGAACGAATCCATGTGATTGGCTGTTTAACATCCATAGAGTAAGGCAACAGGTGTCGTCCGAAACTACCACGTTTCATTGGTCCACAGCTTCTTCAAATTTAAATACAATTAAAACCAGAAATAGAAGTCTGGGGCGTGATGCATGCCAGTCTATTAACGCACAATCATGCAACCATCACACAAGCTTGTCATTCACGAAAGCACGTGCCCTAAATGTCCCCAATTTCTTCCAGTATGCATCGTGGCATTCCTCTCGGCCTCTTACACCAAGCGAGCATATGTGTCTAACGATATCCCACGTATGACAGCACTCCTCTCTCGCCTGAGTTCACCTAGTGTCTGACGAGTTCCGCATTAGCAATACCCTTCAGGCACCTTCATGTATACAAATGCATGGAGGTGAGATCGGGCGAGTCCGCCGACCAGGGCAAAATTGGAAACTGGTCCTTTCCTGGCTACTTAGCGTCAGAGGTTGAATTTGTGTCAAGAATACTGCAGGAACTTGGTGTCAATATGGATATACAACAATAATTACGCATGGTTTATTTCTAACAAACTAAGTGCTAATATGAATATACAACAGTAATCACGCATGGTTTATTTCTAACATCTTCATTTCAAATAAAGAACATTTTGGGGACGATCGGTGTATGCTTTTTGGCATAGGCACAAAAACGTTTCAGCAAGTGGGGGTTCCAAAAGAAAGTTTGAAATCCATTATTTCCATAGACAGCCATAGGCTTAACACTCGGCATTCTAAAAATGGGGTGCCATGGCATCTCCGAACGCTCTGCCTGCGTCTCTACGCCCACGCTTTTTGAGGATTTAGTTCGATAGCAGCAAAACATGCATCACCAAGTAGACTTCTTAACTTTGGTTTAGGTGGAAATCGACTCTGGAATAAACCAAATTTGACTTGGGTTGAGGCGGGACCGATCTTCATTCTTCTTGCATTCAGTCGGAGTTGAGTCAGCTAAACCTTCGGAATCACCGATAGAAACCAAAGCAAGACGAGTCTTAGCAGCACAGCAGTTCGCATACAGGCCAAATGGGACACAAACGTCATGAAGAAAAAGTCAGACGTCGAAGCCACGTTTTGTTCAAGAAATGCCCTGTGCATACCTACGTTTATATGAATTCCACAGAACAATTTACCTTCTAAACTTTCGCCACCGTGGTCGACTCCGTCGTAATTAATTCTCGAGTTGAGCCTTTTTGCCCCGGTCAGAATCCGGAGTCTACTAAAGAACGTTTTGTGCTGCTTGGTGTCAGTCGAAACCAACTCGGTGCGCTGTGAGTTGCAGTCGTGCATTTTCTTAGTGCGGGTCAGATACAAATCTACTTTGTAGAATTGAGCGATTCTGTGCTAGGCCAATATTACGTCGTGAAAAAATTCGTAGCAAAGAATTCGACGCCCTTTTGGAAACGCACTGTTACACCATGCTATTTAGTCATATTTACCACTATTTGCCAAATACGTCCGACTTGTTTCTACAACATGCGATCATTACAGCGTTGCTACGCAACCGTGAGTTGCCAATGGTTGCCATGACGACGCTTTCAACCAGGCGGAAATCGGCGGCAGCGAGCGATGAGGCACCGAAGTGGGAAAAGTGTAGAGGATAGCTACCAGTGCCTGTAATGCGGTTAACGACAAAAGGAATTAAATGGCCAATGTATCCACGCAAGGACATCTCCTCATGGCAATCGTGAGTTGTTCTGTTGATTAGCCACACAGTGATCGCAGCTGGTCGGCCGCATTCCTCCGGATATGTAGCTAGGTACAGCCCGTCAGGTGAAATCACATTATATGCCTGAACTATATGATGGCTATATTTATCAATAACTTCACGTGGCAACAAAGTAACAAGAAAGTGATTGTTGAAATACCGCTGACCTGTGCTTCCAAAGACAACTTAAATGTCGTATGCACATCCAACTATATCAAGGTGTCCAAGCCCCCCTACATATTTGAGGCATGTTTCACCAATCCCGTGGACCACGACGCAACTGTCGTTAAACTGATTGATGAAGGCGTTATCATCGAGCTCACAAAGCTAGCTGAGAAACGCTGGCCTGACCTCCGCCAAAATCTCACTAAAGAAGAAATGGCTAAAGAGCGGGCAAGATCGCAAGAGGCGGTCGAGAAAATGGAGAAAGAAGGAGCCGAAAGGCGTAGCGAGACTCGGCGAAATCGGGAGCGACTTGGAGTCACGGAACAAATGAAACAAGATGAGGCCAGTCGGAAGTCACGCGACGATGCTCGGGAGCACGAGAAACGGCAGGCTCTAGCCGAGGTGTTCCGTGTTAGCTCGGCGCAGTCGCGGCGTGGCCCCCGCAGGCCAAGTGAGGTGACCATGTTCAGCGTGTCGGAGACCACCGACTCGGAGGAGAGCACCACCCCCTTCTGCCCAAACCCGCAGATCCCACCCGAGCTGAGCGGCTCGGCGTCATCGGCACCTGCCGGCCCAGCGGTGGCCGGCGGCAGCCCAACACCGTCTGCGCACGTCGCACGCTCGGCCACGCCGGCCGCGGCGCCGGCGATTCCGGCGGTGCGCACGCCCGGCACCATCACGTTCGCGTTCACGCCACGCAGCTTCCCGTCAGCAGCGCGGGAAAGCCGCTCGCAGGAGGAGCAGCAGTGGCTACAGAATCAGGCGGCCGCATACCGCCGCGACGGTGCACTGAACGACGAGGATATGCGACCGCACGAGCGCGACCCACGCTGGCTCAAAGAGCGCGGCGACACCTTCTATCAGCGAGGCAACTACCTGGCCGCCATCAACGCCTACAGTCACGCCATCCGCGTGTCTCCCAACGCTCCTGAGCTCTTCGCCAACCGGGCGGCGTGCCACCTGAAGCTCAACAACTATCACAAGACGCTGGAGGACTCGTCGTCGGCGCTGGATCTGCTGAAACCGCCGGTGCAGGTCAACCAGACGTCGCGGCTGCGCTGTCACGTGCGGCGCGGCACTGCGCTGCTCCGCCTAGCCGCCTTCCAAGAGGCACTGGCGGAATACCAGATGGCACTCAGCCTGGACCCGACCAATGAGAAGCTGGTGCAGGATGTGGAGATGGTCAGGAAGCTGGCCGAGGATGCTGACAGCGAGGACTGAAGACGTCAGCACGCTCGACTAGCGGACCTTTGCTGGCATGAATGTAGAAATTGTGTCATCATGTTGTTTCACAGGTTGATTGCGAAATACATGCACATCCTTATGATTAGTGTGAGGATATTGTCATGCTATGCCTGTAGATGGCAGTGCATGGTGACATATATATACATGGGTGGAGTGCCAGTTATTTGTGGATGTCCCTGCCATAGTGCAGAGCAATACACAAAACAATAATGAATTATCTCTTGAACTGTAGTTCTGTTAAATACCACAATCACTTCAATTATTCTCCAATGTTCATGATGAAGGTAAAGCCGGCAAGCCTGGAATGGCAGGCTGCATGCTGCATAGACATAATTTTTTATGCAGTAATACTTTCTACCTGAGAGATAGGTGATAGCAGCATATAAATGAACCGTTATGATGTTTGTTCAGCATGTGAGGTGATAAGAAAACTCTGCTATTTGGGGTTTGATGGCATGAAACAAATTGAAAATAAAATGGCAATGCCATATTTGTATCAGGTATCTCCTATAGCCAGCTCCAACTCCCCTTAACTATGCTGGGATGTTGAGATGCTGAAGTGACCATACCTAACCTTTGGGGCAGCACCATCACCCAAAAAAGATCATGCTGACACATGTCACAGTTGGCAGATGGGTACTATAGTGGAGTCAGAAACTTTCCTGCAGGAACGTAGTTGCTTGTTCAGTTGGCGACCTCCAGCACCTACCCTCCAGTTTTGAGAGAGAAGTGGACAATATCAGGATAAAAGCCCAGTTGTTGGCGGAACTTTATGTTATGTTCCCACTATTTCACTGCTCAGCCCCACCTCTTTCTCAAAACTGAAGTTGAAAAATATACCCATTCTACCTCCAACCCAAAAGTGAAAAATAACTTAGTCTTTTCATGAGAGCAAACTTCCTCATTGTTGGCTATCAAGGTCAATCACAGATTCACCTTGACATATATATGGCTGACAAGCATAGTAGCACTGACCTTCAATAGGAGAACAAGCATCAGCTCTGGGCCTCCTGTCTTGATCAAATCTATACATTTTCTCTCAAATGCAACAATTTATATTTTAAAGAGAAATGTAGGTATACTTAATTAATAAAACTCCTAATGGATCTGGCTGAGCTCAGACATTTTAATCACAGCCTGCTCTTGGCTGGCATGGCATCATATTTTTCATCAGGCTTCCTATGCAGCTGGCAGGACCTCACCTGAATCAGGTGGGCCTCCTTGTGGTAAGATGGCCTGCTGCTGTCCACTTGTGACAAATGGTTCTCGCCCCCCCCCCCCCCCCTCCCTATTGAGGCCCAACCCTGTGCTGATACAGATTAATGTAAGCACTGTAGCATGAGCTAATCAACCTTTATGTGCCCTTCACAGTCTATGTTGGTATCCATAATGGTTCAGTTATCACAAAAATAAGAATATGAAACAAGGTAACCCCCTAGAACAAAATTGTAAGGATTGAACAAGTCACCAAATGGTGAAATTAAGCTCAAGTTTTCACCATCCAATTCTTGAGGTTTTGTAATGCTCGAGTTGGGTGGGACTGACGTCTACAAAAATACGAAAAGAAGAGTTTCCCGTGACACTCCGCTGAGTTCTCTTAACTCAACAATCCTTTACCAGAGGCTTCCTAGCACGAAACGTAACGCACGCGAAACAGCAAACCAACATATGAAAAGCAGCTGTCGGGATATCAAATTACAAGGAATTCCGTGGCCTTCCGAGATGGCTCGAAGCATGTGTGCTCTCACGAAATCAGGGTGAAGTTTTCGGCAAAAAAAAAACGACAAAAGACATCGGACCTACCTCAAATAACCGTTTGGCCAGTTATTTACGACATCTGACCACCGCTCGCCGCTCTGCGGCAGGGTTCCAAGGTGAGAGTCAACGATGACCGATCCGTGTGTAGTGTTTTTGCAGAGCGGTAAGCAATGGGCATTTCTTACGTCATCAGATACCCACTGGTTATGACCTAAGAAAACAAGCTGAGAATGTTTGTCGGTTGGCCATAGAAAGCATGATTTCCTCCGAAATTGTCAGCAGCATTATGCGCATCAGTTGCTGTTATATTTCGTCTCAGAGCTGATGGTTTGATAAATAAATCTCCATTGAAATCCTGGCTTGGCTCATATGACGTCACACTGGTGTGACAGGGAGGAGAGGCAACACCAATTTTCGGTAGAGACGAGGTCGTCCGACCATCAAAATAATACTTGAGCAGTTTTGCAGATAGGGGAGCACAGGGAGCACGTGCCCCCCCCCCCCCCCCCCATGGCCAACCCTAGGTTCCAAGTGGTCCCTCGAGCCCCTCGGGACCTACGATCAAGGGCCCGATTGGAGGTCCCTAAGAGCCCAGTAGGCCGGCTTGGGTTCGTATTTAGGGGCCCATTCCGCAGGACCGGGCAATTCATTGCCATCCAGAGGGCCATGCGCGCTGATCAGGGTCCCCCTGAGTCGATCAGTGCAAACAGTGCCCCGATCAGTCGATCATGCCGGTCAGACACCACCAATAACGCACAATCGGCTCTGTGTCGCCATGGGCCTAAGGGCCCATTCCAAAAGCATGGACAAAGCAGGAGCCAGCGATTTACATCGGTCGGGGCTGCAGCGTCTTTTAGAACTCCACAGCGCCTAACAGGGGGCCGTGGATTGGCAAGGGACTCGAGTCGGCCAGAGGCAGTGTTCGAAAAGGCCAAAAAAAGGGCGTGGGGGGCCCACTGGGGCCGACAATCAACGGCCCGATTGGAGGGCTTCAGGGCACGAAGAGCTGGTCGGCTCTCATTCAAGGGCCCCGGCCTGCTGGGACGGACCCTCAAATGGCAGTCAGGGGGCCCCTTGAGCCCTGAGTCGATATGGGCCCATATGTCCGTCAGGCACCACCAGAACCACACGGTCAGCCAGTCAACTTCTTGTCGGCATGGGCCTGAAGGCCCACTTTCCAATCAGCTACGAAGTCGGGGTCGACGAATTTTATTACTCGGGGCCAGCGATTTACGCTCGTCGGGGCTCGCATCTGAAAGGGGCCCGCAGTGCCTAACAAAGGGTTTTGTGTTTCCAAGGGACCCCGAACCCACCAAGAGCAGTGTTCGATGAGGCCGGAAAAGGGACCCGGGCGGCCTAGCGGAACCGACGATCAGCGGCTTGGTTGGAGGGCATAAGGGCCCGAAAGACTGGCTGAACGTTACATAAAAGATCTCAGCCCGTCGGATCGTGACCTGAAATACCAATCAGAGGTTCTCTTGCACCGTTTGAGGACCTCCTATAACAATGCGGGTGTCTCGGTCAGCCCGAGACCACGAACACCGAACAGTTGGCTCCCTGTCAGTCTGAACCCTGGGGCCCATTTCCCAAGCAGGAGCAAGGCCGGGGGCCACGACTTGCATTGGTCTGGATTCCTGAAACAATGGATGGGGCTCCTGTGTCGGGCAGGGGTCCACAGTGCCTAACAGAGGATCATGCGTCGGCTAGTGGCCCCGAGTCGGTCACGGGCTTTAATTAAGGAGGCCCGACGAGGACTCAAGTGCCCCTGAGGACCAAATATTTTTTTTTAAATTTTGATTTGACCTGACTTTGTCGGTCAGGGCTCCCAGTGCCGAACGGTAGGCCCTCCATATTAATTGCAGCATGGGTCCGTTAAACGGAACTCAAGTCTGTGCGCCCATGACTGGACCAGCTGCGGCCATCAGAGATGTTGTTGCGCCATTGAGGGTTCCTGCGCCGATCCGGGGCCAATCACGCGGGTCAGAAGGCCTCCCGCATCAGGAAGGGACCAATGTGATGTGATGTATCCCTCAGAGGGCCACTGGATCGACAAGTGGATCCCGCCCCGTGTCACCAGAATGACAGGCGGAGGACACCGCGCGGTGGAAAGAAATGGCTCTCCAGCTCCTGACCAGAACAACAATGTACCCTCTAGTGTTCCACTCAAGAGGCCCCCTTACCCGGAAAGACCTGAGAGGTCTCATTAAGTGTTGAAAATAGAGTGGTTCGAAATAAATTATGAAACGAAAAAGGCCGTCCCATGTTTTTAGGAACGGTCTCTTTTTTGCAGAATCGATTTGTAAAACAATTTACACCAAAATATTTGAGCCTGCGCGCCCAAGATCTCGGCAGCAAGGACGGCGGTGGTCTGGGTCGTAGTTCCTGTAGAACCGGAGAGCGTTGGCCAGTGCAATTAACACCACGCGCCCGAGCGAGAACGACCGTCGTGAGATAATGGTTCGGAAGGTCTTTCAAAATTAATTCGTGTCATCCAAAGAAAAGATTGGGTGTATCTCTTCATAACCTTGAGGTTATCCTCTGCGCAGAAAAACAGTAACAGCAATACGAAAATAGACATTGTACCCATACCCGTTCAGTTCCACCACCACGCACCAGTCAGCACCCCCTCGCGGTGCTCTAAATGCAATCCGTTGTTAATATTAATTTGAGAATCACACCGGTGAAATCAGCGCCTGGAATGCCTTTGAATTACACGATTTGATCTCCTGAAGCGTTCAAAGGCACTTATTTCAGATGCGTCATCATATTCGTCCATCCATCAGCTACGGCTTAGTGTTAGCCAAGCGGCCGATGCTGCGCGGCCTGTCGGACTTACTACGCACATAATTTGCATCACTTCGCAGGGATACAAGCTATGATATTAGCATGCAAGGTGATGTTTACCCACAGCTGCAAAATAGTGTGGACTCCTAATCCCAATCGTTTTTAGATGCTTGTGGAAAAATCACGGGCAGGGTAAATCTAATATTTTTACGGTGGCGACAGAGGTGGCGACACGGAGTTTCAGTTGGAGTCAGAAATTTTCAGGGCCATCTGAATAGATCGTGGCCTCCTCACAGGGGGTCCGTAGAGTGGCAGCATGCACAAATTACTCGTTCCTCTCGTTTCAGTTAACACGCGCCCGGGTTGCCGACTAGGTACCCTTCGCTCAGGTAGGGTCAATTTGCCCCCCCCCCCCCTGAGATCTCGGGAACTAGAAGAGCTAGAGACACCAAACTTCAAGGGTGTGTTGACCTGTACGTGAACTCACTTAGGTCATATTTTGAGGTTCCTAAGTCATGACCTTAGGGTCAAATAAGGTCAAACAAGGTCCAGTTTCGGGCTGGTCTCCAAAGTGCCCCCAGAACCTAGCCAACTGTTTCCAAGCAAAAGGTCTTATGCTCAGTTAAGGCCAGTGACCTTGTCTGACCTTTTAAAGGTCATGGTGACCAAAAT